CGAAATATATGTTTAGATATACAGTATATATACATCAGATAAACATGATCTGACATTTCTCTAATATTAACCGTATAGTTATACATAAGATAAACAACAAATAAACAACACTGGTATATATACATAGATAAACATGATCTGACATTTCTCCAATATTAACTGTATAGTTATACATAATATAAACAACATATAAACAACATTGAAACGGTATAAAATATAATACACGCTTCTGAATGACTGCAAAATCTAAATCGAATTTAGTTATACATTAGATAAACAACATATAGCTACTTTACCAATATTGTAGAAATATGTACTTTTCTCTCTCGTCCGTCTGTAGAACTGCTCGACTCGCCAACAACTGATGGATCTCCGGTCGCCAACCTTGTTATCGCCCTCAGCCGGAGCTGTTGCTCTCCGCAGCCCACAGAAATCCCTCGCCCGCGAGTGGCCTGGTGCTCGTAAATTACTCAGCCGCGTACCCCTGCTCTCAACTCCTTCTCCGTCAGGTCGTCGGCTCTCGTCTCTATCGTGGACAACTCGGCCTTCTCGTGCCTGGTCGCTGGGTTGGCGGCTTTCAGACGCCGGCGGTGTTGCCCTCCTCGCCGTCTAACTAGTGCAGAAAGCCGATAGAGACGGTGGGAAGATTTGATGGGAGGCAGGCTTGAGAAGAAATTTGGGCCGACTTGCTCTGAAGCTTGGTTTAAATTAATGGGGATTTGCTGCTGAGATTTAGACTTCACATGGTGTTGGTGATTAGGGTAGGGCTTTTTGAATCTGTTGGTGGTGGCGGCTGAGAAGAGGAGTTAGATAAATAATTATCTGGAGAGAGAAAATCAAAAGTCTTAATTAATCAAACTTCGTAACTTTCAATTTAAGTTACAAGTTTCGTACTTTTAATAATATTTAATAAAGGAGTTGTAGTAGGTGTAATTTTCTCGTGGTGTTCTGGGCGCATCTGGGCCGCTCTCTACGTCGCTGGGCCGCGCTGGAGCAAGCTGGGCCGCGGACCACGCATTTGGGCCAAGGGAACATCAAACTGGGCCGAAGGCAAGGCTGCTGGGCCGCGGACTCGGGCTGGCGGATCTGGGCTCACGCGGGCTAAAGATGGGCTTCTGCTGTGAGAAGGACGCGGGCCGCGCGCGGGCTGATGCGGGCTCAGAAGCCCGCGCGCCTGGAACAAAAAGAAATCTCCTATTTTTGCAAGGAGAAGGAATCGAACCTGCGACCTCCGCACGGAAAGACAGCGTCGCACGCCATCGCACCAAACGCCCTGTTGCGTCAATTGATTCTGGGAAAATTATGAAGTATTTGATTGCGGACTGAAAACCTGGGAGCAACAGCAGGCGCGCGAATTGCTGGAACTGAAATATTTTGGGAAAATATTATATCCAAGGAGATACGAATTAACAACCTTCGAATCTTCTATTGTATGACCTTTACACGATCTCTAATAAATCTTGGTGGAGCGATTTATTAGATTTCCCAAAACCTCTTGATCATCTTCTTCTAAGACCTTACGGCGCTAACAAAATTTTCTCTCGAAGAAGAATCTCTCTATTTCTTTCTCGCTTGAAGAGGCCGAATTTCTCCAGCCCTTCGGGGAGAAAAAACGTGTAAAGCCCTGTCCAAGAGGTTAGGGGACTTAGTGTATTTATAGGCTACAATAGAGAACTAAAGGAGGTGCTAAATATGGGCTTATTCCTTTAGGTTTAGGAATCCTTATTATCTTCCATCTCCTTTTCCCATCTAGGATAATATTCCTAATAATTAATTACCTTCTAGAAGACTCTATAGTCTCCTAACCCAAGGTAATATTCTAGAAGGAATATTCCCATCCTTAGGGAATTATGGAATATAATTAATTCCTAATTTAGGAAACCTAATTCTACTCCAATTAATAATCTAATGTAGGAAATATATCTCCTACTAATCTTCATCTTCTAGAAGACTCCTTAGTCTCCTAATCCCTAGAGAAGATCCTAGTAGGAATATTATTTTCTTAATTAATTAATATGGAATAAAATTAATTCCTAATTCCTAATCTTGGAATTAAATAATAAAACATTCCACTAGAGTAATATTATTGCTCTCCCCATTTAGCTCCGAATTA